TATTAGTATCCTAGTCCTAGTCATAGTTATTCTAGTTGTTGATTGCGATCTCGATGCCACCATCTACCCAGCACACCTAAACCACTAATTCTATAGTATTAAAAAAGCCCTTCAGAAGCTGCAAGGGCTGCGACATGGCGGAGCCCCATGCGGGCGATGTTCCTGCCTCGGGGCATTGGAGGGCTTTGCTGCTTGCGACGAAAGTTTGCAGCTTTTCGGTGGGCACCACGTCGTCTTCGTCAGTTATGTCTGCACAGCAGAACTTAAAGACGGACTGCACCACAGGCGGAAAGTTCCCCTGCCTCGACAATGACGGAGGCGACTGAGCAGCCTGGCTGCGAAGAGGGGTTACTGCCGATACTGCCTGCTCTGTGCCAAGCACAGCACTCCAGGACACCTCATGTCATCGTCCCACGGCGGTTGATGAGTTCAGTTCCTTGATGGCGAAGAATCGTCCAGCACTTCCGCTGTCCGCGTACCGGTCCCGCCTTCGAATTGTCTCGCAAGCCAACGGCACGGGAGTTCGGGCGGGGCTTAGGGGCCTAGGCAAAAGGAGCCACCCACGACTGAACTCCGAAGTGAAATCGCCCACGACCCTCCCGGATCCCGAATGATGGAGGACCGCTACGCCTATAAACCGTGCTTAAACCCGAAACGTCCTAAACCACCGTGCGTTTCGTTCGTCTTCTTTTTTGTTGAAAAAATTGGCCGAAGCCGGATCACTTTTTTTTCTTAGGGTCCTCCACCCTAAACCCGATGCCAAAATAATCTGAAAACCCTGTAATATTGAAACCTGGCTCCTCCTTCGACATGGCATGTCAACCCGAAGCAGCAAAGTACCTCAATCAAAGCCAAGCCAAGAAACAAGGCTATGAATGAATTTATGATAATCCGAAATGTAACCCCGAATGGCAAAGAAGACCTGAAGTCGCAAAATGCGATTGTCCCGACACTGTAAAGTCTCAACGCCCAGACCCGGCAAACCCACAACGCTGAACCCAAACCTGAAAACCCTTAACCACAAAACCCCTGTCCCAGAACCCAGAACCCCGTTCGTAAAGGCCAACACCTGATTACCCCAAACCCGGCTAATCAATTCAGCAATTGCCCGAAGTTACGTGACCACCCGGCCAAGGAACCACCCAAACCTTGAAGCCGAAGACCTAGACTGGACGCAAACCAAAACCAAAAGTCCTACAGCCTACCTAGGCTATAGGAACCCGAGCTGCAAACTATCCTAGAGTCCTATAGCACAAACTTTACAACCCAGAATACCTAGAATCCCAGAAAATGCTCGATGGCAACCCCAACTCCAAAACTGGCCTAAGGCATGAACGTCACAAACCAGCATCCTAGGTCCTGTAAGCGCAATCCCTAGTCACCCTAGCCCTCGTCACCCTAGGCCCTAGTCCGAAACTTCTAAGCCAGCTCTAGTCTAAACAAGGCTCTCAAGTTTAAAGTCATGAGGAAGCCCAATGACATGATGTCCCATGCACCGGTCAAGCCTTCTCCAAGCCATGGAACTACCGTCGCCAAAGAAGGCCTGGTTTCAGTCTGCCGAGGCCCGATTCAGGATACGAATGCCAACTTCATTCAGGGGGCTTTATACCAAGAATCAGACAGTTGCAGAGACTTTTGACTGGTTCAATGTCGTGCACGCAATACACTGGTTTACCCAGCGGGCCACGATTTACTGGGATGTATGGTAAGTACACAGATCGTCAATTCGTACAACCAACATGCATTCGACCTGACATGAAGCGCAAACCCCTCAGATCTAACCGAATCTAACCCGGAGCCCTCAGCCCTGAACCCACCGCCGTTGCCAATCAACCCCGACTACTCGGGACCCTCCACTCCTTCCTTCCTCGATCCATGCCTCAGACCATACCAAACCTAGAATCAACCGGAGCTGACACTTGAGAACTAGTTGAAATGCACGTGTGCGGATGACACACCATGAAATCAGTATAAAAGCCCACAAGCCTAGATTCGGCCGTCTTCGATGGCAGGCCCCAACAAATCCAACCCGAAACACGCTACAACCAAATGCCGCAACGAACCTAAACTAGACTAGACCCACAAGCTCAATTTCGGGGCTCAGGGCTTAAGATGGGCACTGTGATAGGGCCCATCGCTAGGATAGGATAGGCTTGGGGTCTAGCCTGTGAGAGGGCTCAGAACGGGCGCACGGGCACTGTGGCTAGCTACAGAGAGATCCCCAAACCCACACCTGGTTTCGTTGCCTTGGCACTGCCAAGGCTGCCAGCAATGCACAGGAGGCCAGACGTGACTGGCCAGATTCCGGGATGTTCGGGAGATCAGGGGGCTTAATCTATCAGATGTCTTGGAGCCTTGCACTTGTGAGAGGCAGCTACGTCCTGCGGTTCTGTTGGGAGTGGCGGAAATACGGGTTTGGGCTTGCGGCCTGCGGAGTTCTGGTTCACGTTCATGTACGGCCAATGCCTACAGCTACTCAGCTACCGGCTGGCATTATTTCGGTGGCGACCTATGGTTTCTTTATGTCAGGACTAAACCTGATTCAAGCGTGACGGTCGCCTCAGCATCGTGCAGCGCCGCTGCAACGAATTGCTGGCATGTGGCCGAGGAGGGTTCAGGCTAAAACCGGAAGATCGGGCTGTTGGGGACCTTCGCCGCCACCGCGCCTAAAGCCGGCCTAGAAGTATAGGACTAGAGTACCCTACTTCTGCCGCAGCTGGAGCTCCAGCTTAGTCACCTACGTAGGGCTTAAGTGATCTCCATTTTAAGGTACCAGGACCTTAGTAGGGTTGGGTACACTAGCAGCCTAAGTAGGGCCTGCAGGGGGGTTGGGGCCGAATTACGCATGCACCACGTCATCTTCTGGCCAGTCTTCCTGTGTGTGGCCTCTCGGCGCTCGGCCTTTTGTTGGTGCCGGAATACAGATGCGATTCTTGCATCTTTTTTTTTCCTGGTCCCGGCGAAAAGACGACGACCAACCGGTCGATGCACGTACTGGGCAACCAACTGATGCTACCGCTGTCTGCGGTCGGTCGGCAGCACGTACTGGGCAACCAACTGATGCTACCGCTGTCTGCGGTCGGTCGGCACCAACTCCTGGTGCAAGTGCAGCGAGGGATTATGACCCTGGACTGGTCCCGGATTGACCACAACCGAGGCATGCGTGCCTGTCTCGCCGTGTCAGTGTGGCGGTTCCGAGTGGCTGTAGATCGGAGGGAGGCTATGGTGTTTGGGGTTTGGGGGCCGTGGGCTGGCCTGGGTTTATGCGTAGAATTGAACGCCTAAGCCTAGGAAGAATCCTCGCTCCCCCCGCAACCCAATAGCCCGGAGCAAAAGCCACAATGCCAGTTTCGGGGGGGTTTAGGGCTACCCATGTACGCAGCTACACAAGCTTTAACTCCCAGAAACCCCAACAGAAACTAAATTTCAGGTAACAGTAGAACTCAAGAACTGGATGTCTTTTTCCAAAACCCAATCCTTAATTAAACCCCAACCCAAACCGCAAACCCAGCACAAAGCAACAACAAGACTGTATATCAGCTTCCAACACCTAATGAATCCTTCAACCCGGACCCCAACCCGAACTTATCATCTCAGAAACCATGAAAAAATGCGAAAGAGATGCCGCTGCAGCCCGAAAGCTTTATGACTCCATGTGAGGCTGTATAACCCTAAAGCCTAAAATCATCTAACTGTAAACCCCGGACCCTCGAGCCCTCCAATCCCAAAGGCCAAAACAAACCCAACACCCTGCACCCCTGCAAGCTTGGAATCCAGCAGTAAACCTATCCTATTCGCATGAGACGACCGCTTAGATGCCATGAGGGTTGCGAAGTTTGGAACCTAAACCCAGAAAACTCCAGAAGCCTCATAAGACAGACCCCAAAAGCCTGGCAAGCTGCTAACGCTTCAGGTCGCTCGCGAATACACACAGACTGCTTCAAGACGAACTTCAAAGCAGGATTTATAAGGTGTGGGACGAAGCTATCTAGTGGAATGGAACCCCAAGGGCAGTCAGACTCGCATCAGGAAACCGGTCCCACACGTAGACCTAAGAGTAACCTAGGAATAAAAAGGGTGCCCTTTTTGGTTTAAAAGGGCTTATAAGGGAACCTGAACCCTAAAAAAGGGAATAAGGGCCTACTCTGGGTCCTACATGAACCTTGCTAAATGACTAACACTACCACAGCATGTCAGTGTCAACCCAAACATGATTTCCCACTTCGCACTCATGATGCCAACACACGTACATTAAATGGATGCTCCGATGAGGCCAGGGAGGGTATGGTAATATAGTACTTACTGTCAAAGGACGTGGCATGCTTGAACAATGACAACTAGAAGCAGAAGGGCTTACATCGCTCTGTGGCTTGCGGGGCTTCTTGCCTCAGGGCCTCACCTCTTATCATTGCCAGGCTGATAGCCGCGAGCTATTGGGTTCACACACTTCGATTCAGAGTTACGACACGATTGAATGGCATTTCCGCCAGGACTGGAGCTGCCACCCCAAGGTTATTACAAGCAATCCCAACCCCAAAGCTTCCAGAACACAGCCTCAGGACGTCCATGAAGCCGACGGCGAAGGGCCTGCACAGAGAGGTCAGGCAGCAATGAGTGACCCGAGCCCCTATCCGTCTTCCAGTCACAGACAATGGCAGAGTCAGACAAAGACTGATACCGATGATCCCTCCAGCTTGGCTTTCTGCTGTCAAGTGTGCAATGAAGTAAGTTCAGTCCAAGCTGACACCCTTGCATGGGGCGATGTCACCAGCAAGCCCTCCAAAGCCTCTTGCAATATGACTCTTGCCGCAGCACTTTTCTCACCACACGCAGATGCTAGGCCTGCGAAGTTCGGAGTCTTTGACTTCAGCAGCTGTCTTGTGTGGGAGGGGAGGCCCCGAATCACTGCACTCATGAGCATGCTGCCTTAGAAAATTAAGTTCAATCTCCGTCCCAGCCAAAACGACCAGGCTGCTGAGTCTCATCAGTCGTGAAACTTCCTAGGCATTGCCCTCATCAAGATCCTCCTCAAACTCCTCCTGAGCCTCCGGGTCCTCGTCCTCGTCCATGTTCTGCAGCAGCCCAGGGATCTCTCCGTCATCGCCGCCATACTCCTCCTGATCCTCGGTCTGTCCCGGGCAGTTGCTCGTGCTCCCAGGACGTGTCTCAATCGGGGCCTCCCTGTTAACAGCGGCGGCAGGGGCCACCTCGACGACGTCTTTCTGAGGCGGTGCCAGATGAGGCCGGAAGAAACGGTCGTTGGAAGGACGCTGCAGCTCCTGTGTCACCCACTCGAGCAATTCCTTCTTCAGCAGGTCCTCGTGGAGGCTGCTTCGCACCAGAGCAATGGTGAAGAGTCGCTGCTCCATGGCTGCGGATAGCTGATTGAACTCTGGACTGAAGCTGACCAGCCGTCCCGCATCCAGAAGGTGCCACAGCTCCTGACACCAACGCTGAATTCACGGGCCTTGGTTTGAACTGCAATAGCTCAGAGCTCCTTGTGCAAGCTGCCATGTCTCGCCAGGTAATTCAACGGCTGCAGCTCCTGCCGAAGCACGTGCTTTGCAGGAGCTCGACGATGTAGCTACTCAGCAGTATGCGAAATTCAGTCCTCCTCACCGATCTCTGCTGCATGCTGCACAACATCCTCATCGTTGAGCGCCTTGGCATTGGCATCCTTCTTTTGGTTCCTGCTGTCATACTTCATGAGCACCTGAAATGCTGGGGCCACGCAACTGCTGTCTACACTGATTTCAACTCCACAAAGCCCGTCCGCCTTCTGCTTGTCGGCCTTACTCACCAATGGTCGCAGTGTGGGGTGAGGGAGCGGAATCGTCAGCCAACTGGCCGACGAGTCACCAGACCTCGCATGCAACACAGAAGTCTGGACTCTACGATGACGACACTCTGGACGGACTGAAATGATGAAGCTCCTTGCTCCGAGTCGCCCGGCCGGCATTGTCAGGTGCTTGTGCGGCTTTGCATCGATGGGATTGATGCTCCGGCAGAAGTGAAAAACTTCACGTCCCACGATGTAGGTCAAGTGCCCGGCGGTGACGCCCAACGTTTTTCGCCGCTTCAGTGCCGACCTGATCGAGTGAGTGAGTGAGTGAGTGAGTGGAGCACTCCCAATCTCCAGCAAAGCAGCTCTTGATCCTCGTCCGTTCCATGTCGGAAAAGTAGCCGAGCTTCCATATCACACTGTCGAGGAAGAAGGTCCCAGGCCTGGTACCGGCCAATCTTGGCTTTGGCCAGCTGCGACCTGATACACTGGCCGGCCTTGTATGAGCCCACGTCGAAGCACCCGAACGTCGCTACCCCTGGAAACTCCGAGGCGAACATCCCAGCAGCCTTGACGCTGCCGGTGATCACGTGGGTGAACACCGACGGTGTTCTCGAATACACGTTGTGTGCTCGGGTGTAGGCTTCGGACGGCTCGGACATGACGCCTGGGTCGACGATGAAGACCACGTTTTGCCCGCGGTCCAAAGGGGGCATGCTGGAAAGGACCCTTAGCTTTTGCAGTTTATTATCAGGGTTCAGACATGACGACTGACGATCAGGCATAATTAGCAGGACCCAGCTTCGGTTTGACACGATTGTGTACCAATAATCCGTCTGCCAGGCCGTCCGAGTCGATCTGGATAAATTTCACATAATGACCTATTTCCTCCATTCCAGCCGCCTTCACGCCCCTCAGGCGGTTTTTTTCTGCCTCGTCGTTCATCGACGAGGCAGCACCGCTCGGCTCGTCCTCCTCGGTCTGCAATGCCGCCTGAGCCGCAGTCTCTGGCGCTGGCTCTGAAAGAGGGAGCGCATGCTGCCACCTCGACAAAGGATGCACTCACAGCTTCTGTTGGGACAGAGTCAGCCACCTATATTATTGCAACCAAAAGGCTCTCGCAGGACATCCTGGAACAGGGCATGTGTCCGGCTGTGCCCCAACCTGGTGGCCAGAGGGGCATCAGGAAACTCCTTGATGGTGGCCTCGAAGTCCTGACACAGTTGCCGGCATTTCTGATGGAGACTCGACTTACAAACACTCGCAGGTTCGGTCCGCATAGTGCTCGCCGCGAATGATGGCACGGAGAAGGTTGTGCACTCGCCTCGCACGGTCGGGAAGCCCGAAGATCTCGAGCTTGCCCTCCGACACCACTGTCAGGAAGCCCTCGATGGTTTTGAACGGGGTCAGGTCCCACTTCGGCACCTCCGGAAGGCTGCTGAACTTCTCGCAGAGATGGCCCAGCACCTGCTGACAGTACACAAGGACCTTGGCGATCTCCGGTGCGTTTTCCTCAGCTGTGCTACAAGAAGATCATGGCGAATCAGTAATCGCTCAGCAGCATAGAGACTGAGAGTCAAGATAGCCAAGCAGCCTTGCCCATGCTTCCCAATGCCGGCAGAACCGAGCCCCAGCTCATATCCGGATCGTGCGGTGTGCCGAACGCCCGGATCTCCAGCACTCCTGAGATTCGTCGTCGGTGAGTGACAGGAGGGAAGAGGAAGATGCCGAGGAAGGATAGGTTTCGATTTGTTCAGCCCCAATGCCAAACCTCACAACAAGTTTGGAAATCCACACCGGGCACTCTAAGCGGAAACATGCTTCAGACCCGAATCAGCCCAGGCAACCATTCACTCCGCTGGCGTACAGGCTGAATCAACTGCAAATGACTACACCCAGGATCCCCAACAAGACGTGAGTCGCATTACCTTTTTTAGATCGGGCAGCATTCGCCGCCTAGCCTTTCTTCACGGATTCATGGGTGTACATTAGCTGTCGCCCCACACAAGTAGAAGTAGTAGCAGCAGCAGCAGCAGGAGGAGCAGGAGGAGGACGAGCAGTAGTAGTAGTAGTCGGAGTAGTAGTAGTAGTAGTAGTAGTAGTAGTAGTAGTAGTAGTAGTAGTAGTAGTAGTAGTAGTAGTAGTAGTAGTAGTAGTAGTAGTAGTAGTAGTAGTAGTAGTAGTAGTAGTAGTAGTAGTAGTAGTAGTAGTAGTAGTAGTAGTAGTAGTAGTAGTAGTAGTACTAGTAGTACTAGTAGTAGTAGTAGTAGTAGTAGTAGTAGTAGTAGTAGTAGTAGTAGTAGTAGTAGTAGTAGTAGTAGTAGTAGTAGTAGTAGTAGTAGTACTAGTAGTACTAGTAGTAGTAGTAGTAGTAGTAGTAGTAGTAGTAGTAGTAGAAGAAGTAGTAGTAGTAGTAGTAGTCAGCAATAGTCAGCAGTCAATCAGTAGTAGCCAGCAGTCATTAGTAGTAGCAGTGCCAGCAGCATTAGCAGCAGCAGCCGCGCTAATCGGCAATAGTACGAGTAGTAGCAGTAGTAGTAGTAGTAGTAGTAGTAGTAGTAGTAGTAGTAGTAGTAGTAGTAGTAGTAGTAGTAGTAGTAGTAGTAGAATAGTAGTAGTAGTAGTAGTAGTAGTAGTAGTAGTAGTAGTAGTAGTAGTAGTAGTAGTAGTAGTAGTAGTAGTAGCACGAGGACTAGTACTAGTACTAGTACGAGTACTCTTACTAGTACTAGTACTAGTAAGTAGTAGTACTAGCCTAAGTAGTAATAGTAGCCGTCGCCCTAGGAGCTGTTCTTGTAGGGTTTAGAGTTGTTTAGATTTAGGGTTAAAGGCACTACGACTAGAACAACAACAACAGCAACAACAACAACAACAGTTACTACTAGTACTACTACTACTACTACTACTACTTCTTCTTCTCCTGCTATGGCGATCACTGCTCCTACTGTTACTGCTACCTGTAGGGTGTCTAATTTGGCCTGAGGCCAAGTCTAGGAACAGCCCTCAAAGACTATAGAAATAGTTCTCTAGGCACCCTTATAAAGTAAGACCCGAATTTGCAAAACTTCCCATGGGTGCTTTGGGGGCCCAAATTTGATTGGCAGCTCTTGTGCAACGAATGCAGTTCAAAGCCCTGAACTCTAAAGCCTAGATTCTTCTTCAAGCCTTTTGCAGGCCTTCAGGGCTGGGTAAGAATCCCCAAAGCCTAGGGCCTAGTAGATGGTCAACCTCGGGACAATACCGGTCGAAATCAACCTCGCTCTCTTAACATATTTCGAAGACAACAGATAGACTACTACGCTACTACGGCTACTGCATGTTTCGTCTCTCATTGCAGCCGTGTGTCGGGCCACGAACGCGAGCTCGCTGCCACTGGAGCACGGCCCCAGAAGCCGCACAACCACGGACCATTGTCCGAGCCACGTCGGCTGGCCGCCGACAAACTGCATGTTCTGGAAAACCTCGACAACGTTCCCCTGCACAGCCCGCCCCAAAAGCCTCAAGAGCTTTTTGATCATGTCTGGCGACTTGACCTGTCATTGCAATCTGCGCTCGATGTTCTCAGTCTTCGAAAGACACACGCAAAGAGTGCACACACGAACACGTAAAAGAACCCGAAGAAGCTCCGCCTGGGACAGGCCGCTCGCATACGTGAGGCCATGCTCACGCACACGCTCGTTGAACTCGTCGAAGAGAGCCTCCGGAGTGTACTTCAGGCCCAAGCCTTTGTTCAGGCATCGAAGCCTCGGTGAGCCAAGCATCGATAGCAAATTCAATGTGTGATGGACCAACAGAGCCAAGGCACTGTTCCAGGCGCTGTGCCAGTCTCCACGCGAGATTATTCCCCTCCTGCAAGCAATCAATTCAAAACACAGGCATCTCTCCAAATGTTCAAGAACGATCCTAACTTCCAGCGGCCCGCCTCCTTGCATCGTTGTATGGCGTCCTCTCCTTGCCTGTGACACAGCCAGAACGCTTCCTTCCCATCACCGCCGGTCCGCACGATCATTCCGCAAACGGCCTGTCGGCATGGAAACTCGGTTAGCCTGGACACTGACACTGACTTTATTATTAATACGCCCCTGATGCCTCGGCACACTCCTGAAAGACGGCCGCACGGTCTTTGTCGCGGAGGCTGTCCGCAAACTCTAGGATGAAAGCGCCCAGCCGGGATAGATGGGTTGTCGCAAGAAGCTGTCCTGGCCTCAGGGTACCGAACGGCGAGAGAGGACCGAGTGACTGATGACATATCACAATCCCGCCGGCCTGACATCCACAGAGTTGGCACTGCCGGACGTGCTGGGAGCCATCAACTGGAGCACGGGCAAGGACACGGCACACTTCGGGCCGTACCAGTAACTTCTCGATCCGCTCAACTCGGCCATCGTGGGGAAGGTCAATCCCGGTCCCGGCTCCTCGAAGTTAATATCTGCCAGCTTCAAGGTCGTCACGGCCCCCGTCATTGCATCCTTCGGCAGCTTCTTTCCTCCAGGGCTGTGGCTATCATAAGACCTTGACAGCCCTACACTGGCACAACTCAATGCTGGAACACTCGTCCGGGTCCTGAAGTCACCCACCGCTTGGCCTCCTTGAGCTTCTTGATGGCCTTCTTCACCGCATCCCAGCCCTCCGACGTTGTCATCTTCATGATGGGGCCATCCTCCGGGGCTTTGGGCGAGGCCTCAGTGGCAGTGGCCTTCTTCTTGTCTCCACCGGTGCTGCGACGGGGCGCCATGGGTTCCGCAAAAGAAGCAGACTTACCGTTTCCTTCGAAATACGGCTGCTGCTGTTCTGGAGAAGGTCAGCGAGAATTTCCAACACTGCTCACGGCGAGAAAACAGTCAGTCAGACGGTCCTCCTTCGGCGGGAAAATGTGCAGATGGCTGGCATTCCGGCCTGGGCGAGCTCATCGTGCTGCTCAGGGGCTAGTGGACACGTGTGTTACCTACAATAAGGGCAGCAGCCCAATCGGCTGTAGGAAATGGACTCAACATAGCACATGACGCCTCCGACGCCGAGCCCCGGGCTCAGTGTAGGTGGTGTATACCTCAATAACAAAGGCTTCTCCTACGCCGGACAGGCAAAAGCTCAAAGCTCCAGGGCCTCGGCTGTAGGAAATGGAGTCAACATAGCACATGACGCCTCCGACGCCGAGCCCGGGGCTCAGTGTAGGAGGTGTATACCTGCATAACAGGGCCTTCTCCTACGCTAGGCAGCAAAAATAGAATTACACCGCTCACCTCTCCAATCCACGCTTCAGTTGTCGGCAGCTGCTAGAAACGGTCGCGGCAACCTGCCCCGTACAAGGCCACGCCTAAGCTTGTCAGCAAAAACCAGAAACACTGCTCACCTTCGAATCCACCCTACCGTATACCTGACTTTTCGGCACCTTGTAGAACCGGTCCCGGCAACGTGCCCTGCCTCGTCCGTCACACAGCACGAACGTCCCCTGCCTCGTCCAGCACACAGCACACCCGGGACAACTGCCAGCAATCACAAGCCTCCAGTCACAGAAAACACTAGACCATCTGAAAAGTCCTGCCTGTGCCAGGATGGAGAGGCCTGGGCAGTGACCGTGCAAGTTTCGGCACCCTGTTCACACGGTCGCGGCAACTTGCCCCTACATCGTCCTGCCTCGTGCAGGACACACACGCACCACAGCCGTGAGCCGGCTGTGTCATCCCATCGTCGTCGATCCTGTCCGGGCCATATAACG